CCACAAGTGAGGACCAACCAGCTAAGCCTTCAATCCCAGAAATGAGAAAAATAGTAACAAGCAATTGTCTTTTTAAATCATTTGTTGTTGGGGTAGCTAGATGCATGTTGATAGATAACCAGAAATATTTTTAAAAGAAGAAAAACTAAGCAACAATTTAAATCTCCTTCTTGTGAGAAACCCAAAGTAGAAGAAAAGCAATAGTAAAGATTGTAGCACAGATTAATTAAATTGGAAAATATGCAATACTTAAAAACTAATAAAACCAAAAAAATCTTTTTCTTGGAAAAGACTAAAACAGACAGATGATATAGAGCTGAGGGAGGTAACTAAGACAGAGAGCTGAGACAGAATAGAGAGATGATAGATGGGAAGATAAAATTGATAACTCTTATAAAACTGGTCAAGGAGAAAAGAAGAGCCATGCACGGTAGTGCATACCTGTAATCCCAGCAGCTCAGGACCTGAGGCAGCAGGACCACAAGTTCAAAGCCATCCTCAGCAACTTAGTAAGACTGTCTCAAATAAAATTATAAAAATGCAGGGAGGGGGTGCTGAGGATATGGCTCAGTGGTTTAGCATCCCTGGATTCAATTTCTAGTATGAAGAAGAAGGAGGAGGAGAAAGAATGCACATATTATGAATTTCAAATATAGGGAAGGGGGTCTAACTTCAAATTGGACAGACATTTAAAAGAGAGTATGAGAATATTATAAAGAGCTTAACAACAGTGCATTGGAACATTTATATTAAATGGATAAATTTCTCAAAACATAACTTTTCTAACATGTTTAAATTAAAAACTAAATATTATATATAGTCAATAAATTGATTTTTAAAATCTTTTTCATTGGTTCTTTTTAGTTATACATGACAGTAGACTCATTTTGACATAATTATGAAAGCATGGAATCTATCTTGTTCTAATTAGGTCTCCAATATCTCCCCGTCCCCTCCCCTATCCTCACCCCTACCCCCTTCTCTGATGATCTTTCTGTAATTTACCCATATTTAAAAAAAATTCTTGTGGATATACATGATGGTGAGGTTCCCTGTGGTCTATTCACATATGTACATAGGAAAGTTATGCCAGATTCATTCCACTGTCTTTCCTTTTTCCATCCCACTTCCCTTCCCTTTGTTCCCCTTTGAATAAATTAAATTTATTAATAAGTTTACTCACACAAACACACAATCCCAGGCCCCAGATAGCATCATAAATGGACTCATCCAAACATTTAAGTAAGAAATGACACCAATATTATACAGTTTCTTCAGAGATGAGACAAAGAGAAAGAGCTTCCAATTTGTTTTACATATCCAGTACAACATGGGCACCAAAACCTAGTACTATAAGAATATTATACAAAAAGTACAGGCAAATGTCTCCCATGAACTTAATCATAAAATTCTCAGCAAAATATTAGCTGACTGATATATATATATATATATACACACACACACACACACACACACATATAAAAATTAGTGTATCATGATCAAGTTTATTTATTTCAGAGATGCAATGATCAATCAATGTTATTCATTACATTACAGAATTTATAAGAAAGATCATATGGTTATAGATTCACAAAAAGTAGTAAATAAAATTTACCATCTATTTATGATACAAATATGTAGAAAACAAGAAGTGGAAATAATTTTTAATTGATAAAACTAATCTCTTTAGATAGATAGATGGAGATGGAAATAGAAATATAGATGTATCTTCAAACTTACAGCACACATTAACCTACTAGGAAATATTAAAAACTATCCTTCTAAGATCTGAAGGAAGACAAAGATGACCATTGCCATCAATTCTATTTAACATTGCACTTGAAAACCAACAAGTAAAAGAACCAATATTTTAAGAATTGAACMAATGGACAAAATATTTGAATAAGCATTTCAACAAGATGTCATCCAAACGGCCAATAACATGAAAATGTGCTTAACCTAATTAATAATCAGGAAAATGCAAATTAAATTTGCAACATGATGCAATTATAAACTCCTCAGAAGAGCTGAAATGAAAAAACAGAAAATCCCAAATGTTGGCAWAAATGAGTGGCATCTGGTCCCCAATACACAGCTGGTGTGAGTGTAAATCAGAATAATCTCTTTAGAAGGCGATTTGGCTATAACTACTAAAGTAGAACATGTCATACCTTTTGGCCAAGAAAAGCCAGTCTCAGATATATTACCCAACAGGAATGTGTATGTAAGTTCATTGAAGATATGTATGGAAATGTTACCAGCAGCACTTTTCACAGTAGCCAAAAACAAACAAATCAAAAAATAGTCAATTGTCCATCATCAGTGAAATGGATAAACAAATATTGTGGTATATTTGTAGAACAGAATAATATACAGTAATAAGAATGAATGAACTATAAATATTTGCAACAAGATGATATGTGTTGTAAACTGAAATTACAGACAAAAGAAGCCACACACACAGAGACACACAAATTATTTATGATATGATTCTATATATACATTATCAAGACAGTTACCTTCAGTAAGATAGGGTTTTCTTGGGTGCTAGTCATGATCTAGTGGTGTGTTAAGATTGCACTGGTGAGCTAAGATGTAGCTCAGTGGTAGAGCACTTTCCTAGCATGCACAAGGCCGTGAGTTTGATCCCCAGCAACACACACACACACATGATAAAGAAAAAAAATTGCATTGATATATTTTTATTTCTGCAAAATCTTTAAAGTGTGTAGTTAGGAATTGTATACTTTTCTATGTATAAGACACAGTTTCAATGAAAAGTTAACTAACAATGTGTAAAAGCAGTCTCAACAGCAGCACATTGAGGGACAAACAAAATCAATGGTATCCAGTCAAGAGGCACAGTCAAGATCCCTYTGCCTGGTACCTTGTTGCTCCTGCATCCAGTTGTTCCCTTCTCTGCAGGCTACATTATGATGGCACAGCTCTGTCTTGCTCTCATTTTGCTTCTGCTGTTCCTGACTAACTCATTTTCTTTCTCTCTCTAGGTCTTCTAACACTCTCTCCCACCTTCACCTATGCACTTTCTCTGCACTTTCCACTCACTGTGTCTTCCAGGCACACTMATCTCATGGGAAAAGATCTATCCAAGTCAGCTTGTCAACATGAAGTAGAGGTGCCCATTTTTTTCCCTTTAATTTTTATTGTTGGTTGTTCAAAACATTACATAGTTCTTGACATATCATATTTCACACTTTGWTTCAGTGGGTTATGAACTCCCATTTTTACCCCGTATACAGATTGCAGCATCACATCAGTTACACATCCACTGTTTTACATATTGCTATACTAGTGTCTGTTGTATTCTGCTGCCTTTCCTATCCTCTACTATCCCCCATCCCCTCCCCTCCCATCTTCTCTCTCTATCCCATCTACTGTAATTCATTTCTCCCCCTTGTTTTTTTCCCCTTTCCCCCCACTTCCTCTTGTATGTAATTTTGTATAACCATGAGGGTCTCTTTCCATTTCCATGCAATTTCCCTTCTCTTTCCTTTTCCCTCCCACCTCTCACCCCTGTTTAATGTTAATCTTCTTCTCATGCTCTTCCTCCCTACTCTGTTCTTAGTTACTCTCCTTATATCAAAGAAAACATTTGGCATTTGTTTTTTAGGGATTGGATAGCTTCACTTAGCATAATCTGTTCTAATGCCATCCATTTCCCTGCAAATTCTATGATTTTGTCATTTTTTAATGCAGAGTAGTACTCCATTGTGTATAAATGCCACACTTTTTTATCCATTCGTCTATTGAAGGGCATCTAGGTTGGTTCCACAGTCTTGCTATTGTGAATTGTGCTGCTGTGAACATCGATGTAGCAGTGTCCCTGTAGCATGCTCTTTTTAGGTCTTTAGGGAATRGACGGAGAAGGGGAATAGCTGGGTCAAATGGTGGTTCCATTCCCAGCTTTCCAAGAAATCTCCTTACTGCTTCCCAAATTGGCCGCACCAATTTGCAGTCCCACCAGCAATGTACAAGTGTACCCTTTCCCCCACATCCTCGCCAGCACTTGTTGTTRTTTGACTTCATAATGGCTGCCAATCTTACTGGAGTGAGATGGTATTTTGAGTATAACTACAGTAGCAAATCAGCTGGGAGCAATGGTGCACACATAATCTCAGCAATTCTGGATGCAGGAAGGATTGCAAGTTCAAGGTCAACCTCAGCAACTTAGTTAGATTTTGTCTTAAAATATAAATTTTAAAAGGCTTGGGATATATATATAGCTCAGTGGTAAAGAGCTCTTGGGCTCAATCCCCAATCAAGAAAAAAAAAAAGGAACCTTGGAACCTTGGTAACAAGTCACCTCACAGGCCACTGTCAAAGTTGCAGATAGGTTAGAATACTTGTAAGCCACAGTTGGATAGTAGGAATACATAAAATTCAGCTCTGTCTGAAAGAATAAGTCTGGTCACAGGATTAGAAGTGGGAATATCCAATCCATGAACACAACATATTACACTTGGTTAGTCCTCAATCCCAGCTAGGTGTCAACCTTTGGAAACTACAGAACTACCGGCTCACCTTCCTCCCATTGTCTGGCACATTGCAGAATATGCAAGAGAAGATGCTCAGCAGTTATTTATTTGAAGTACTGATAACAAATAGGTGACCTAGTGTCCTGACTCTAATCTCTGTCTCTGTTCTCAGACTCATCCTCAAACAATGACTTGGATGTGAAATATCTGGATCTGTACTGTAAGTCACCAAAATCCATGTCACAAACATGAAAAGCCACACCATGTCCTCAGTTCACTGTTCAAAAGTAGCATTTCAGATACCAAAGATTATAATGTGTCTCTTTCTTTACATCAAACCTAGAGTGCATTGGCTGTAACTAAAATGAGATGCCAGTCCATTTCATTTAATCTGCAGTCAAAGGATGATGTCACTGTGCTGGTTCATTTTTAGGAGAGCCACTGAAATTTCTTTCTGTGTGTTTAGTTTCAGGAGATTGATTCTGTTTAACTATTCAATTGCAGATATAAATGAATGTACTATTGACAATGGTGGCTGTCAGGACCAGTGCTGTAATACAATTGGCAGTTATTATTGCAAATGTCAAGCTGGCCAGCAGCTGGAAGAAGATGGCAGAGGATGTGAAGGTAACAGTTAAGACTGTCTGCTTACTGATAAGGAAAAAAGAGAGCATGTATGCAATGCAAAAGAGGGGTTTCTCTTTTATCCAGAGCCAGTTGAAGTGCTTGTGTTGAATATTGTCAAGAGCACAGATCTTCCTCTCATGCCTAGATTACAAAATTGTAACCCATTAGAACACTTCAAGTAGCTTATTATAGGAAACATATGATTATATGCTGGTTTGGTTGTGTCATGTTCTGATTATGGAATTTCAATCGTTCATTTAAATCCCTGGGTAAAGTACATATTTTTGAAAGCATTTCATTTAATTCTAAAGTAAAAATGGTGCTTATCATAAAATACTCATATGTTGCTACAATAGAAAGGCAGAGGCACAAAACTAACCACAGGAATAGTATTCTTAGTGCAGAATTAACTTTTTGCATAAACTTCAATGTTCTGTCTCCTTTTTAAATTAATTCCTTCCTTCCTTTGTTTATTGATTTGTCATCTTATTCATTTGACACTCACTGAATTTCTGCTCTGTATTAGGCATTATTTCATGCTCTGGAAATATAAAAATTAATGAGGAATAAATTCTTCCCTGAAGGAGTTCATTGATTAGAAGGAAAGATTGAAACATTTGCCCAAACCTTATAAAATGATGTTTGAAGACATTATAGCATGAGGTTAASTGAACTAGAGTTTGAGTTCTAGCTGTGTCACTTACTAKTTGTGTAACCTTGGGCAAGGTATTTCAACATTCTAAGACTCTCTTAACYGTAAAACTTAGGATAATGCTAGTTATCAAAAAGTCACAAAATTTGCTATGAGAATTAAATAAGATAATGCACATAAGCACTTACTTAGCATAGTGGCTAGCACAAAGTAGGAGCATTGTACCTTTGCATATTAACTCAGTTGCTGCTCTTACAGGAACAGAATGGGAGCCAGAGAGTGCTTCCTTCTCTTAAGCTTTAAGAAGARAAATCTTAGACTAAAGGGAACACTTGTGCCATGCCTTATAACTATTTTGACTTTCCCCCTGTCTATTCATGTTGCTAAAATRCCCAAACATTTTATAYATTCAGGATTGTTGTTTATTAGTTTAAGGTCACAGTACAAAAGCATCGGTCCTAATTGTGTTTTACCATTGACCTTACAAAATCACACTAATTTTTTTTCTTCCTAATGACATGAGGGGCCCATGTGAGTAAGTTGGTAGGAGAAAGAATAGACAAAAAATGTCCCTACAGAGGATGCCTGGGGCTGGGACTCTGGGTGTGGGGACTGCTAGTTTAGATCTTTGATCCAATTCCTTTCATTAGTGTCTTCCAGCAGGCTTGGACAGGCAGCAACAGGAAACACTTTGGATGTGTTCAAGGACAAGGGAATCCGAGCCTTCCTGAGATTGGCTTCACCTCAGACAGGGTTCTCTGCCTGGAAAGGTAGAAATTCACAAAGGCAAGTCCTAAATTCATCCAGGCTCTTTTTAGTCAAGTGTCATCATGCTTATTTCTGGATGTGACTATTTGGTGGTAGTGTTCTCAGTATGGATTCAATGACAGGGAAGAGAAGGAGTCTGGACCAGGGTGGTGATGGCCACTAAAGACAATGCAGTCTTGTAAAATAAGAATATCATTTTTCATGACATTTCCCTTGTCTGTGAGGSAGTAACTTACTGTTTCTCTTTAGTTGGGTGTTATTATGATCATCATTGTCATTATTATGAATACATTCCCGGTGATGAGTGCAGTAATTAGCCATTGTTAGGTATAACAGTTTTTATTATTATTTTATAATAGCTGTTAGGTTGATAAAGCATGTTAGACTTTATACCCCCTAGCTCATTTAATTTCATTCATATCCTATTTTAATTGAAGTTAGTTACTCTTGGTGGCTCATGTAAATGTTAAAATATTGAGAAAAGAGCTTTCCATGGCTTCATTAAATTGAAGTCCTCTTGTACAGACTGTGTAAGAGTGAGGTCAGTATTGGTGAGACTCAAGAGTTTGATAATGAGGTAACATTGACATGCCCCTTCCCAGAATGTAGAACCGCAGGTAGTAGCATGGATTGGAGCCCATTGCCCGCAAAGGACCCTTCCCTCAGTCTCATTCATTTAAGCATCTTTTCCTTGTTTCTGTAAGCTACTATTTGGTGGAGATAGTAATGTTAGAGATTCAGCTTATTCAGTTGTTGTGCATACCATGATCTCAGATTTATTTATATACACAGTTAAATAAAAAATAATAGAGGTTCTTTTGCAATCCAGTGCATTCTAAAGTCACAGCAAATGAGCATTGTGCCAGCCACTATGCAAAAATTTCATGTGAGTGCACTAATGAGTCATCCGTGTTCTTTCACTAGCTCGAAACGGTAAAGGTCAGTTGGTTTCAAACAACATTGTGTTGAATGCTACAGCCATAGAATTAAGCAGTCATTTTAAAAGACTTTTTCTTGGCATTAATATATATTTGAATTGCTTTTTAAGTACAAATCAACATTTTAGTGGACATTTGTGGTGCTATTAAAATAAATATAGAGTCTGCTCTTAAATGGGATTGAAACATTTGCAAATGGCCTTGTTAGCTAATCTTTTTCTTCAACTTTTTCCTCTAAAGAGATATAAACTTGTGGAGAAGCAGAAGCTTCTGATTAGCTCAGTTGCACTGGTATCCCCTGATCTCAGGCACAGTGCTGAACCTAAAGCATGTTTTCTGATTCATAGTTCACATGGATTCTCACAAGGAACAGATCAAAGGAGCAAATGAGGAGAAGGCATTGCCTGCCACTGGATGCTGTGGATATTTTAATATATGTACATATATGTATATATGCACTCAAAGGACAAGATTTTTCTTCTTTGTTAGTGTGTTAACATTATGACATTTACAGATTTTCAAGTATGCAACTATCTTTGCATTTCAAGTGATAATCCAATGGGATGTTAGCATTTTATTTGCTTTGAAATTCAGTTTTCTATTGCTATATGACTTTTGGTTCCCACAACCATGAATGAAATAGATCAGTAATTTTTGTTTCTCACGTGGTCTTTATGACAGTGKTTCTTCATTGAAGTGATTTGGTCCCCCAGAGACATGTGGGTGTATTCATTTGCACAACTGGGAAGAGTGAGTGCTGCTGACATGTGTGGTAGAGGCTAGGATTCTTCCCAGCATCCTCTTCTGTGGCTCTGATTAGACCTTCCCATGCTAGCCTCCTTGTCTCTTTAATATATTTTATTTTCTTTTCTGTCTTTACTGCATATGTTCAACCCGTCTATTGAGTTTGGATTTCAACAATTTACATTTTTAGATGTCTTATGTTTCTTATTCTCAAATCCATAGGTTCCTTTCTATATGTATATTCATTTTTATCATTGTATATTTTCCTTTTACTATTTCATGTATAGCCATTCTATATTCTGAATCTTATTCCAACACCTGTGGTCCTTGTGAGGAGTCTAAATCTATTGGTTCTTATTTCTAGGCATTATTTACAAAGTGTTTTCACATTGCCTTTCCTTTCCTTTTGTGTATACCATGGTGTAGAACTTATAGTAGAGCACTGTAACTATTTATAGGTTTCTACTATTATTAATTAGACTAGGAATCTTGGGAAAAGGATTCCCAAGTTAAAGGATCTTGTCTTTCCACTTTTCCAATCCCATAGAATTCCATAAATATTCATTGAATGAATGGTTGGATGAACACCCATTCTTTCAATGTGAATACATGCAAGCACCCAGTCAATACACCTTTCATTTATCTCCTTATCTACAAATCCCAATCATGTTGGTGTTGTCATTTAAAAGTTTACCAGTTAAGCCATTGGGTTATCAGTAGGTCTTACTGTAAATATTTGCTCAAAGTAAATCTGATATATTTGAAAGGGCACAGCACATTTTCATTTCTAGAGAATAAGTAAAACTTTGAACTTCTTGAACTCTTTCTTCATGTGGCTTATCTAAACCATTGGTGCAGCAGCATAACTAATGAGACTAGTAGTCCCATGGAGTCAAGAAACTTTTTTGAATAATTAGTGTACATTTTAATAAGTTAACTAACAAAGCTAATAAACATTGATTAGACACTTGAGACAAATTCTTCTGCTTGAGAGAAATAAATGAACATACATTATCCATTCATAAAGGCATGTGATTTCATTAACTGATTGTTACAATATTTTAAAGTAATTTTACTTATATTTTAGAGTGATATTTCCCCCAAAACACATTGGATGTGATAATGTAAATAAACAGAAATTCTAATTCAGAATGCCATTGTTGTAAGTCATAGGATATTTGAACTGAATAAAAAGCTTCTATAGATGAAATCTCAGAGAAATTAAATGTCTTGCACCAGTTCATAAAGTTAGTTGGTGAACAAAGTGGCACTATATGCCAGGCTTTCTTGTTCAATATGTATCCTTTCCAGTGTCCTTTCCCTTGGATGTGGTTGATAAGCAGCATGCACTAGATACAGAGCAGGTTAATCAGAACCACAGAGTCACAGTGCTGCATTGGCCCAGGGCCGTCAACTCATAGAGGCCATGATCAACCAAGGACAGAAATTAATGTAAATAAACAGAAATTCTAATTGGTCATTCTCTCAGTTTCAAACAATTCATTTGTAGAAGTAGAAACACAATCTAGTTCTCCTTTTTTCATTTGTCATTCTTCTCAATTGATCCATCAATCTGGCCAGTAATATCTTCTGGGTAACTACTAGATGTAGTTGGGTATTTGAGAATACCAGAGTAATACAAATTATGTTTTGTTCCATCATGGAGTTTCTCTCATTGATGCAGAGAAAGAAGAGGAGGGGCAGGGAAGGAGTCTAAACAGGAAATAGAAAAAGTAGGCCAGTACAAGGGTGCATGCCTACAGTCCTRGTTACCTGGAGGCTGAGGCAGAAAGACTGCTTGAGCCCAGAAGTTTGGGTCTAGCCTGGGCAACACAGTAAGATCCCATTTMTTAAAAAAGAAAAGAAGGGATTCCACTGAGGCAGTGATATCCATCCAG